GCTAGCTCCGCGTCTCCCTGGTCTGCTGGGGGGGGGCGCTAGCTTCGCGTCTCCCTGGTCTGCTGGGGAGGGGGCGTTAGCTCCGTGTCTCCGTGGTTTACTGGGGGGAAGCAGCTAATGCGGGGCTGCCTCACCCCGTTTGTAAGTAGGGATCCGATGTAAGTCGGATCCATGTAACCCGGGGACTGCCTGTAAATGCCTAGCCTTGCTGGAAATCATTAGCCTTTCCCTCTGTCCCTAGTATTTGCTGGTGGCATGAGTAGAAAGTGCCATTATATTCAGGCTCTCCTATAATCCAGCTGTATTTCACCGAGCCTTCATTTCTGTTGTAACGTTTACCTCTGTCAGACCCATGGTGCATGTTCCGGGTGGATCTGAAATTCCTTTTTGAGTGGTGCTGGAGGGCCCAGTCCTGCTTCCATTGAACCCAAAAGGAATTTTCAGTGCCTTTAAGAAGATTGGGCCTAGAGTGTCCGTGTAGGACAAGTCTCTTGGTGCTGTGCTTCCTTTGCATTACCCCAGTAGTTCTGGTTTGGGTCACTTTTTAAAACGCAAAGTTAGAGGAAACTTTGTTGTAATGCTCAGCTTCTTAATTTAGTACATATCGAAATTCTCAACACGGGACTGTGGAGTGCGCAGAGACTTCCAGCTTCCCTGCCGAGCAGAGCAATTTAAATCATTGGTATTAGTCCTCAAAACAAGCACATTGATTCAATTCAGATTGAGCCTTTGTTAAACTAACCTGTACGTCTGTGTTATTTCCGCTTTGGATGGAAAGGTGTAAGGGACCAATTATAACGTCTGTTTAAAAAAGCAGTAATGGGTAGGGTACCTTACTTGAATTTTAACTGCTGTGGGTGCACAACATTGAGAAGTGAGCCTTCATCCACCAACAGCTTTATTCACATGCATAGCTGTCTTTACTTCACTGGGACTCCAGCGTGCTGAAATAAATGTGTGCATGGGCATGGCTGGCTGCTGCAAACATTGCTAGTGGCATAAAATCTGTTGCTTCAAAATTAAAATTGCTTCAGTGTTAATAGCAAACAAAAGCTGTTCAGACTTTCAATACAGGTCGGACCTCCCTAGCCCGGCACCCTCAGGACCGGACTGGTCCCAAACCCGGGCATTTGCCAGAGTAGGGGAGGTCAGTGCTGGCTTCTCTGCTGTTGCCAGCTGCAGGGCTCTGCTCGGATGGCAGCAGAGGGGCCAGCATGAACGGAGCAGGGACTCGGGGGTGGGGGGCATAAAAGTGTAACCACTGAAAACATGCGGGGGAGGGGGCGGCTTGCGGGGAGCCTGCGTGTAACTTGATGGTTAACCATACGCACATTCCACTTTCACATCCCTAGTGCTCAGGGGAAGCGGCAGGGTGACTGGAGTCCTGTGGGAGTGCACCTCACCTCGCAGCTGCTGGACTGTGCTCCCAGCACTGGCTGCAGGGCTGCATTTCTGCCCTCTAGCCACTGAGCTCCACGGCTGCTCTGCCTCTTCCCCCAGCGTCACCCTGACCCTGTTCCTCCCCCTCTCCCCCTGAGCCTGAGCACCACAAATGGGCTGTTTGCGTCACACCGGAACTCTGGGAGGGCAGAGGAGGAGTTGCTGGACGTGGGGCCCAGCTTTTCCCCATGAACACTCCAGCCAGGTGATGCCAGACTGTGGAAGTCTGGACTATAGAGGTCCAACCTGTGCACTAAAGAAGTTGACAATTTTGTAACCTCACAGACCACACTTCTCAAAAGTAGGAGCCTACAATTAGGTATGGAAGGGCGAGATTGTCAAAAGCGCCTAAGTAACCTAAGAGCACAGTTGTATGACTTTGCACCAATCCCGGATGGAGGATAAGCTGCTGAAGTGTTTCAGCTTGACCAGAGGAAGTTCAGTATATTGGAGGCGAGCACGTATTGTTGGTTTATCCATTTTGTTTGTAGTGTTCTCACAATAAGCGTGTAACAAGGCTGTTGGCTTGCTTTTTCCAGCATGGATGAACATCTGAAGTGAGACTACTTCAAAGGAAAGAAAAAAACCCCAAATCTGAAATGCTACTGTTAAGAAACTAAGGGAGTACAGACTACCCACTTTAGCAATGTAAGACTACAATTGCATGGAAGTGTAGAACTGGCAACATCATCTGAATTTAAATCAGAAAATGTATTCCTTTTTGTATCATGATTTTTGTCCACCATGTGGCCTGGCCTTCCTAGCAGTGTTTATAGGGTGTTCTCACTCACAGGAAGTGGATACTGCTGAATACAACAAAACTGAGAGGAATTCCAGCACAGGGTCTGTTTCACTGCCATTGCATCAGTCTGACTCTGAATTCTGGAGTCGACTTTAAAGGTGGGCGGCAGAGAAAGAGGCTCTTTCTTTGTTGACTTATTTATGACAGGTAAAGAAGGCCTGAAAAGCTTTTTTCATTAATTTTTTTTCCTACTTGTTTTTTATAGAAATAGCTGGACTGGTCTCCTTTGTTTTGGCTGGAGGCTGTTCTCAAAGGGCCAGAGAACTGGGGTGGAAGCGTTCTCAGGCTTGTCTAAGTGGGAACATTTCACCAGTTATACTGATACAATTTTAGTAGTAGAGTGAAACTAGGTATATTGGTATTGTGGGCACACTTGAATAAGAGCGCCTTTGTGGTGTTATGTCATTTTGGAAGGGGTTTAAGATAAACTGAAAAAAAAGCCATGTACCCCACCATAAGTGTGCCCACACAGACAGTAACACTAGAGTAGCTATCTGTTTAAATTCACACTTGAGCTCATACTGATACATCTTTCCCATGTAAATAAGTCTTCAGGTGTAAGGGGGAGGGATTTTTACCAAGCTGGGGTGGTGGCTAACTTGAATAGCCCCTCTGCCCCTGAGGTGACATACAATTACAGCCCAGATAATACACAAATCATTTAATGCAATGGATCCCAAAACTACCGACTTCAGTACGGACTCCTGAGGTTGGGAGTGAATTATCCTGTCATAGGACCTTGCATTCACAAACTGAATCTTGAAATCTTGTATTTTTTCAGTGATATTGCATCTGAAACTACTTCCTAAACAATGCATGAGCTGCCTAAAAACAGCCCCCATGCCAAAGCTTTGTCTGCACTACAAGTAGCATGCGTACTGCAGTGCGACTTTTGTCGGAAAAAACACCCAGTTTCCAAGACACAAAATTTCTACCCTTACAGAGAGGTTTGTCTTTTCCTCTCTCTTTATTGTCGACAGAGAGCCAGCATGGACCCTGTTTTGTTGAGAGAACTGGCTTCCGCCAGTATCCCACAATGCCTGCCCTGATGGCTCTGCTCAGTGTTTTGATCTCTGCTTCCCTGCAGGCCTATGCCCCTCCCCTTTCAAAGCTCCAGGAAGTGTCTTGACAGCTGAGTGAGCTGCTCCCTTTGGAGAACAAAGAAAGAGCAAATCATGGGAGTGCTTCTGTTCTGCCCTGCTAGGAACACAGCGGCTGGCAGGCTGCTGCTGCAGGGGAACAGTTTGCTGTGCTGCTTTGACATTCCTGAGCATGGACAGCGCAGAGCTGCTCCTAATGCCCCTCCCAGGAGCCAAGGAGGCTGTGGGAGACTGAGGGAATCCCAGTATGCCCAAGGATCACTCCACCTTCCCACAGCCCTGCACAATGTACCTGCTGTGCACTGCTCTCACTGTCCATGATGGTGTCCCCAGTGTGGATGTGAGCTGATGACGACGACTTTTGGGTGTCATGTTTTGTCGACTTTTGGGTGTCATGCTCATCTGAAGTGGGTGTGGCCCACACAAGCTCGTGATACTGTATGTATTTTGTTAGTCTCTCAGATGCCATAGGGCTACTCACATAAGTTGACCAAACGTGGTAGTGGAGACATCCCCTGAGCGAGGGTGCAGCCCTGGAGAGAGAGGGCGGGAGGCCTTGTCCTCCATCTGGGCTGTGGGTGAGAGCATACTGCATGGGATTGCTTACGAATGGCCAGTGCATCCGTAGGCTTGCCATGGGGTGCGTCGCATTTCCCCAGCTGTGAGGCTCCTTGGCGGGGCACCGGCTGGGACCGGTTGGTGGACAGAACAGTCTCTGAGGCAGGAATGTCCTTTTGTTCTGGTCTGCGGTGCCTGGGGCAGTGGGGCGTAGGCCCACGATGGGGCTCCAAGCAGAACGGTAACACACATAGAGCAGGAGCTTCAGAGGGTGGCCGAGTTAGTCTGTTACAGAAAAAAACAGCAAATGGTCTGGTAGCACGTTCTAGACTCACAAAACCTGTAGATGGGATCATGAGCTTTCGGGGGCACAGCATCTGAAGAAGAGGGCTGTGCCCACGAAAGCTCATGATCCATCTACATGTTTTGTGAGTCTAGAAAGTGCTACCAGTCCACAAACAGTTCAGTTTTGTTTACAAGTCTCTAGCTCTGTGGGAAAACCTTGGAAACGTGACATGACACCGGAGCAGCAACATCTGCCTGACTTGCTGAGGCGCTGGAAGGGGAGCTCTGAGGGGGGAGCTATTGCTTTCAGTGGCTTGTGACGGTGCTTTTCGTGTAACATTGCTACTTGCTTGCTGCTCATCAAGCCGTTTGAGAGAGAAGAGGCCGGATCTTGTTACAAAGATCTACACCAACATGGGGGTGCAGAAGGTGTATGCATGAAAACTGACAGGGCTTTGCCTCATGCTTCTGAAGGGGGGCCCAAGCTAGCAAAAGCGGGGAAGAAAGTGGGGTTCACACCAGAGGCGAAGGTGCTTTTAAAGAGTATCCTTCCCCAGCGAGTGGGGGTGTTTCAAAACCAGCTCAGTTAAGACACCTGAACGCAGCACAGATACCTGCCTTCAGCTCCGTTTGAAACGCAGCATGAGACTTGGTATCCTCGAGTAATTGCATCCATCTGTAACTTGTATGCAGGCAGTTGACGTGCACATGTCTAGGAAGAGCAGTGTAAAGAGAATATGCACTTAGCTTGCGGGACCCAGGAGGCGGTGCTAGTGGTGTGGAGAAGCTGATCAGAGCTCTGCTAGTCTGCGGTGCATGTGGCTTGCCTGCTCTCTGAGAGCAACGTTCATGCTACACCCTGGTGCTCACAGCATGTTGCTTGTGGCTGCTACTAGAAGTTGAACTAGCTAATGATTTTGTGCCTGTTATCTACGAATATCTGTTCACATTGAAACTTGATTGGTGCATAATAAACTCTTCTTAAATCCAGATTGTTTGAATGTCAGCGGGCTGGGGAGGGGGGCTCGTGGTACTCTGTTAATGCACTTGTCTTCCCTCTCTGGAGCCCAGACTTTCCACCTTGATCACACGTGCAAATTGTAGCGCCCAGTCTTGTGTTCTCTCAAGCCACCCCCGGGTGAGGCAAATGAGCAACAGAAGTGGCTTTTGTGCTGGT